ATGAAATAATAAAAAGTAGGAATTTTTAAAATGAGTTAAAAGGGGAAACAAATGATAAAATGTTGAATTTTAATCAATCTGCATTAATTCACTTTCTGATACACTCTGTCAAGGGGCAAGGCTTTTCCCATCCCTGGTCAAGGTTCAGAGAGAATTCAGTGGAGGCTTATTTTGAAGCCCCTCTACTTTACCAAACATGCTGTCTTTCTCTAGGGACTGGTCTCTCCTAACAATATGTCCAAAGTATGTAAGATGAAGCCTTGCCATTTTTTAAAATAAATCATTTAATTGGGGGCTCTTACAGCTCTTATAATAATCCATACATGACACCAGTCTCTTTTCGTTTCCCTCGCCTTGCCATTTTTGCATCTAAGGACCATTCTTGAGTGATTTGCTCAACAGATTGAATAAGGATAGTGAAGGGCATGACATTGACACACACTTTTCCTGATTTAAACCACGCCATATTCCCTTGCTCTGTTCTTGCCACTGCCTCTTCCTCAATATACGGATTATTCATAACCATAATGAAGTATCTTTAAATTCTCATTCTTTTTACGGTTACCCATAGTTTGTCATGATCTACAGGGTCACATACCTTGGCCTAGTCAATAAAACACAAGTAAACATCTTTCTGCAATTCTCAGTTAAGATTCATCTGACATCAGCAATGATATCCCTTGTTCTGTATCTGCTGAATCCGGCCTGAACTTGTCGGTCTACTGCTTCAACTATTGCAGCAGTATGATCTTCAACAAAATTTTACTTGTAATCTGAGCATTCAATTGGGTCACCTCTCTTTGGAGTGAGTACAAATATAGATCTCTTCCAATCAGTTGGCCAAGTAGGTGTCTTACAAATTTCTTGACATAGATGAGTGAGTGCTTCCAGGGCTCCATCAGCTTGTTGAAACATTTCAATTTGTATTCCATCAAGGCCTGGAGTCTTGTTTTGGACTAATGCTCTCAGTGAAGCTTGGACTCCTTTCTTTTGTACTATTTGTTCTTGCCCATATGCTACCTTATGAAATGGTTGAATACCAACTAGTTGTTTTTGGTACAGTGACTCCGTGTTTTGTTTCCATCATCATTCAATACTTTGCCCATAGAATCTTTCAATGTAGCAACTTGAGGCTTCAATTTTCCTTTAGCTCTTTCAGTTTAAGATACACTGCGCATGTTCTTTTTAGTTTTCTAACTCTAGGTCTTTGCACATTTCATTATAATACTTTACTTTTTCTTCTTAAGCTGCCCTTTGAAGTATTCTGTTCAGCTTTTTTATTTCATTCTTTCTTCCATGTGACTTAGCTACTCTACTCTTAAGAGAAAAGTTCAGAGTTTCTTCTGACATCCACTTTGGTCTACCAGTGCCTCTGTAAACTGGGTGCTCAGAATTTAAGTTCTAATTCATTTCTCTCCCATGAAAAGTCCCATGATATTTTGTTATTTACAATCTGTGGATCACCCAGGCTGATGTGCTTCTTCCATGTGAGTTTAGCTCACACCTCACTTAGATGGCTGCTTATTATAAGACATCTGCTGCTTAAAAAAGATTCTCAAAGCTATTTTCCTGATAGTTGGGCACCGTCTGATTTCTTTACCCCACTTTGCTACAGCACTCATATCTTCAGTGGTCCCTTCTTGAAGGTAAATAGTGAATGGGACCACGTCATAAGATTGTCCATAGGTTAGGGCTTAAGGTTAAGTGTGAGATCAAATTCCATTCATATATCTAAGACATGTGTGTGTGTGTTCCATTTTAGTGGCAGCATTATCAGCTCTTTGAGTGACAATATATGTGACATCCACGGTGCCTTTAGTAATTCTAGTAATGTCATTAAATTAGCCACTAGTATGAAATTTAGAAAACTGTTCATATAGAAGGAATATTGATATATGGAAAAGATTTTTAGATTAAATACGTGAATGTTCACTTATACATGTGAAAATTTAAGTGACTGGATCCTGCTTAAGAAAACAATGAGTGTTACACATGTGACAATAACACTCCTTCACTGCGGCAGAACTATAGCTATAAAACTAAGTCATGTCTTTGAAAACTAAGACAATAAAATAAACAATTACAAGGTGTCAAATATGTGCCAGTCTTGGGTTAGTGAGTATTGGGCAACCTCAAAAGCAAGAGGTTAGATCCAAAGTCCAATGACATTCAATTCCACAACCTTAATTCAGCCGCGTTCTTCTTCTTTCCCTAGACCAGTGGTTCTAAATCTCCCTAAGGTCGCGACCCTTTCATACACTTCCTCATGTGGTGGTGACCCCCAACCATCAAATTATTTTTGTTGCTACTTCATAACTGTAATTTTGCTACTGTTATGAATCGGGCGACACTTGTGAAAAGGTTGTTCAACCCCCCAAAGGGGTCACGACCCACAGGTTGAGAACCACTGCCCTAGATCATTAAAGCTTTAAGTCCAGAGAAGTCTATTAGTTCCTTTAATCACCTTGACATATTTGATACCTTGTAATTGTTTGCTTATTTTATTGTCTTAGTTTTCAAAGACATGACTTAGTTTTATAGCTATAGTTCTGCTGCAGTGAAGGAGTGTTATTGTCACATGTGTAACACTCATTGTTTTCTTAAGCAGGATCCAGTCACCTACAACAGATGTTTTTAAAGTAAAGTCGGTTCACTAAGTAGGTTTTATGGCTCATAACTTTTTGATGTGGCCTATGTAGTATGCTGTTTACTTCAAGAGCACAGCATCTCTAAAGTCCAGGTAGCCTATAGTATGGGGCCTGGGTCACCAAGGGTTGAAAAGAAACTGTTGAACATGCACGATGAACCATATAGTGCAGGGTGGAGTCGACCTTTCTTAGAGGATCATCAAGGCAATGTCAAGCTCAAATCTTCCGTCTTTCTTGTTTGCTGTCCTCCTTTAGCATGCATATGAGGCTAGAGAAAATTCTAAGACTTGAGCCAAGCACACCTCAGTCCCCAAAGTGACATCTTTGCTTGCTAACAATGTGCAGAGGTCTTTTGCAGCAGATGTCCCAAATGTACTACATAATATACTACTTGGTTGTTGATCGTTTGTGTGTTGATTGTGGATCCAAGTAAGATGAAATCCTTGACAACTTTACAATTCTTTAAAGTTATACAATTGGTAATGAAACCTAGAAACATCAAATATAGATCAAATGAATATTATTTAAGAGACATTTATTGTTTTCTTCCACTCATATTTTTCTGTGCCTAGTTCATGAAATAAATATTTATTCAACTCAATTTGTCTTCTTCTGTTATTCACCAAATTATCTACAGAAAAAAATGCATTTATACCATAAGTGTGTTTAAGCTGGAAAAAGAGCAAGGATTTCTCTCAAAAAGAAGTGGGGAGGAAATAAAGATGAAGCAAAGTAGCATATTAGGAGCTAGCTAATATAAAATAAAATGTTATGGTAAGTGAAATACATACAGATGTGAATTATGTATGTATTTGGAATGCTTATATGCTCTCTACTAGGATTACCAGCATTTTGACCAAGAGGTAGGTTTGCACAGTAAAAATTGGTATTATAAAGTGGCGATCATAATGTCAATTAGGGCTTATAGACATTTAAGAAAATAAGAAATATGTCCTGAGGGATTTATTCACCCATTTTGACAATATGAATATCCTGACCTTACAGTTAATGATCCAAAAACCCTCAACCTCACTTCCTATAGATTTGCTTTAAAGAGCATTGAGGCACATCAAATAAGGTCAAAGAAAAGGTTAGAACTAGTGGTTTGTTTATTCAGCAAGCATTTATTAGAAAGATGCCTTGTCCAAGACTCGGTTGACCATAAAGATAAGACATAGATCTTCACCTTGAAAATTTCAGTCTATGATGATTGCATCCACACACGTGGCTTCAAAGATTCCATCTACCTTGAAGACTGACAAGATCTTAGCAGAAAACCTATATTTCAGAATGTCTCCTGAGTATCACAAACAGAATATTTTCCCAAAGGTCCTATAAACACCTCGAATTGAATATACAAAAAGTCTCATCTTTTTCCATGTACTTCCAGATAGAAATACATGCTTTCTGAATTTCTATTTCTATTAATGTCATCTTCATGAATGTAGGAATTATTCTTTTGATTCTTTATTTGCATTTATCCAAAAACTGCAGAAAGGGACTCAACTTAAGTGAGTTCTGCCTTCAAAATCCTGCTTTAATTCCACTCTATTTATTTCATCGGCCCAAACTGAGCCTGTGAGAAAAACATCTTGCCTCATCCCCGTGTTTTATAGACACATCTTCAACCCATCTACCACCCTGAAACTTCTCTGGAACACACACTTCATGCTCATCCCCTTCCTTTGCTTAATACTCCACATTCACTCCCCTTAGCTTGCAGTGGAATACAAAGTAAATAATACTTCTAAGAGGGGAAGAGAGAAAGACCACAATGGTCTGGGAATCTGTAAACAAGGATAGATGTGTTATGTTCATGTGTGTTACCTGCATCCTAGGGTTTCCCTTCAATGGGATCGCCAGTTGACCCAATTCCAATGTATACTTCAAGACTCCAATTGGAAGTGAGAAGGAAAGGGCAACTCTGACTGTGAGGAAATATGAGGAATAGAGGCCACCTGGGTCTGTGCACACTGTGTCCAGCCTTGGAGGGAAGGCAGAGCATGGGAGTTGTGAGGCGAAGCTGGGAAGAAGCTGGAATTCTAGGAAGTACGCCAGGGTTAACTCTGTACTGTGCACAAGTCTGTTTTTAAGGTTTCTAAAAGGAAAGTCCATTAAAACACACAAGTTGCAGATATTCTATTTCTCTGCAATAAATGATCACAAATGTAACAGGTCAAGAAAAATGCTCATTATCTCATAATTTTCTAGATGTCTGAGCTAACCTGAGCTCTCTGAGGTTTCACAAGGCTAAAATCAAGGTGTCAACCAAACTGCTCTAGAAGCTCTGGGGAAGAAATTGCTTCCAAATTCATTCAGATGACTGGCAGAATTCCGTTTCTGTCCTTGCAGGCTGAGCATCTAGTTACTCTGCTGACTGACCACTCTCCATTCCTGGGGCTTCGCGTGGCTCTTGACACATGGTCGCCTCCTTCTTTGGAGTTGGCGGTGGAGAACAGATCGAGAGTGAAATCCCTTTGTGCCTCAAATCTCTGGTTTAGATCCTTCGTCATCAACTGGAGCCACTTTCTGCTTTTAACAGGCTTCCTGGATTAGATCAGACACACCTGGAAAAGCTCCTTTTCTGGCAGTCAAGTGTGCCCTCTAACAAAACACATTATGGAGAGACAGGGCAGTGGTAGAATGCTTGCCTTTCCTGTTCAAGATCCAGACTTGGCTCCTGCACAACCACCACCTGCCCGTCAGTAAAAGCTTGAGTGTTATGATACTGAACAGATTTCAGCAAAGCTTCCACACTAAGACAGACTAGAAAGAAAAATGGGGAAAATCTACTTTAAATTTCAGCCAGTAAAAACTGTAGCTCATTACAGTCCAATCCCCAGCTGATCCTAGGGCTAGCACAGAACTGGGCAGCATTACATCCTGTTGTGTATCGACTCGTGATGAATATGGGAAACTCAACAATAGCTTACAACGACAATGTGAGAGTAAAATCCATCCCATTCCCAGTCCCCAGGATTATGCAGGGTGTGTACAAGATGTCTTGGGGGCCATTCGATTTCTGGCTACCATATCAACTATAGTTGTGTGTTTTTTTTCTTCCAGTAATGCACTTTGATAGCAGGATACAGACCACGATCCTATATGATCAAGTATTTTTCAATGTCACATCTATCTTTCACGAGCACTATTTCCATCAGAAATAGTGGATTGTTCTATCGAATGACATTTAAGGGCAATTAAAAGCTGTGGGTCTATAATGTAAGTGAACAACCAAATCCTTTTCCCTTAGGCAACTCCTCATAAACCCTTCTCTGTACCCATTCCCACCCAGAGCTCCAGTTATAAGTGACTATGCTGACGCTCAGCTACACAATGTGGTGAAAAGAATGCATCAAAGAACAGCCCTCTACAAGAGAAAGCTGGTAGAGGGAGATGTATCCTCACCAGAAGGCAGCCCCCAAACTGGTAAGCATCGTACCTCAAAGTACGATGGGGAAAGGGTGTTACGAGAGAATTTTTACTTTAAGATGTTCTTAGTTTGAGTTTTCCCAAAAGCAAGATCCAAGATCACGGTCTGGGTAGTTGCCCATTGTTCATCCTCTATGTGACGGGTCTTGATGTCCTTGGCTCAATTGTATACACAAGGAGTAGCCTGGGGTTTTTATATAAGCTTAAACTCTTTTTGGTTCAATGATTGAGGTACAAGTAGTCTATATTGAAGTCCTTGGCTGGCACAAGTGGTTTGCACTCAGCAGCTCAGTGATAGGTTGGTGGTTCGAACCAACCAGAGGTGCAGGAAGGGAAAGGAAAACCAAAGGAAGCCTCGCCACCTGTTGCCGTTAAGACTACAGGGAGCTAACGTCAAGGAGCTCAGCAAGGAAAGAATGTTTCCAAACTGATTGTGGCAGCAATTGTAC